TCAGCTACACAGACTAATGAGCAGTGATAACTAACATGTCTTTGGGGTCATCAGGTGGGATAGAGATAAATAATATTACATAAGTAGCTAAGTGACTATATAATATGACCTATGCAAATTGGTCAGTGTATATGACCCAGCCCCCACTTTCACTCAGAAACACATGCACACTCACATACATAAATGTACACATGCATACACATTTATATATACTTTTATTGGAGACGGATCAAAGAAGTTTGATTCAGACAGGTGAACAGAGCATAAAAATGGATGGATGGATGGATGGATGGAAGGGTGGATGGATGGATGGATGGATGGATAGATAGATAGATAGATAGATAGATAGATAGATAGATAGATAGATAGATAGATAGATAGATAGATAGATAGATAGATAGATACTTTATTTATCCCCTAGGGGAGATCCATGTGTCCATTAGCTCATTGTTGATAATAATTATAAAAACAGTTAATGATAAATAAACAATAATAATAATTAGATTAGTCCACTTCCTTCTGCTGAGTTGTTGTATAGCCTGATAGCAGTGGGAACAAAGAATCTCCCGAACCTCTCTGTTCTGCAGCGCAGTGAGATGAGAGGTTTGCTGCACCTGCGGCTGCTTCTCTGTCCTGCCAAAATGTTGTGGAGATTATGGTTGGTACTGTCCGAGATGGCCTCCATCTTACATTGCATGCGTCTCTTCACAACAGTCCTGGGTGAGTCCACACTCCTGCCAAGCATAGACCCAGCCTTTTTGAGCAGTTTGCCAAGTCTCCTTGTGTTCATGTCGGACATGCTGCTGCCCCAGCAGACTGCAGCATAAAAGAGTACACTGGCCACCACTGACTGATAAAATGTGCAGCATTTCAATGCAGATGCCAAAGGACCTGAGCTTCCTGGGGAAAAAGAGCCGGCTGTGCCCCTTCCAGTAGATAGCATCCGTGTTCAGGGACCAGTCCAGTTTATTGTCCAGAAGCACGCCTAGGTATTTATAAGTGTGCACCACCTCACTGTCCTTCCCTCGAATGTTGAATGGCTGAAGCGTGGGCCTAGACCTCCGAAAGTCCATGACAATCTCCTTGGTCTTGGAGGTGTTCAGAAGGAAGCAGTTCTTGTCACTCTATTCACTGAAGGCCATTGTCAGATCCCTGTACTCCTCTTCCTGCCCCTTCCTGATACGCACCACAATAGCTGTGTCGTAGACTTAAGTTGAAGGAGATGCTGTAGGAGAAGCTGCGGCTGAAGCAGTCGGAGATGGAACAGATGAGGCTGTGTCAAACCTGTTGTGGAACAGGTTGAACTCATTGGCCTTGTCCACATCACCTGATGTTGCCTGACTGTTCTTCTATGTCTGCTGCTGTATTTCCTGTTGTTCTGTCCAGTCTGAACTGTTATCTCCCTCTATGAGTACTATGAGTACACTGTGTGTGTGTTTGTGCCTTTCTATCCGTCTGTGTGCCTCTCTGCTTGTCTATATTTATCTGTGTTTCTGTGTCAGTTACAATAACAAACTGAAATTAACTGCCAAATGCTTCCTGATTAAAACTGGTCTGAAACATATTTCCAGTGAATCCAGTTGAGATGTGTAGAAATCATTGCAGAAATGTCAGTAAAGTTGTTTATAAATGCCACAGATCTCAGAAGATTTTCTAATCAAGTAATTTGTTCCCACACTTAAGATTGTCTATACAAATATTCTTTGGACATGTTCATGTAATGATGTCGTGATTGTAGTTTTTTGCAATATATTTGTATATATTAGTATATTTTTTGTCGATTGATGTTTTTTATTCTACATCGTTGTTTTGTCTGACGATGGAGAAATTAATGTATAGAAAGGAAGAACTCCTGGCTTTCAAGTTTACCAGATATGGAGTTAAACATCCCATACCAGCTGAGCTGAAGAAGCCGTTCCGTGGATGCAGAGCCGGAGTTAAGCTAAAGACTAGGAGATGGAGATATAAGCCTTTTCTACCATCAATCCCCATGGGAAATGTAAACTCCTTGGCTAACAAGTGTGATGAACTTGAGGCATTTGTGAAGAACTAGCAAGCATATCGTGAGTGCAGTCTCATGTGTTTCACGGAGACCTTGTTAAACGACAACACTCCCTACCGTTGTGTGGATTTACCCGGCTTCACTGCAGATCGAACGGACAGAGACGACGGAGCAAGTGGGAAGAATAAAGGTGGAGGACTGGTTCTGCTTGTGAACAATAGATGGTGCAGCCCCGGGCACATCACAGTGAAGGAGAAGATCTGCTGTCGGCATATTGAACTGTTGGCAGTTGGTCTTAGACCGTACTATGTACCGAGGGAGTTCTCACATATCGTCGCCATTGTGGTTTACATTCAACCATGAGAAGAGCCTGTAGTCACGTGTGATGTCATTCACAAGACTGTTGCTTGTACAGACCCAGCACCCTGATGCATTTATTGCAATATTATTTTAATCAATCAATCTCACCTCTCACCTGACTGGCTTCACTCAGTATGTTGACTGTCCCACAAGGGAAAATAAGACACTGGATCTGTTGTATGCAAATGTCAAAGAGGCCTACACTGCTTCAGCTCTTCCACCACTTGGCAGATCAGATCGTAATCTGGTTTTTCTTCAGCTTTCCTACAAAACCTGTGTAATGAGGCAGGCTGCAACCAACCGCTCATTCAGGCCTTCAGGGATGGAGACAGGTTGAAGCTCAGGTGTGTGCAACATGAGCTGAAGAGGAGATTAAAGCAGGCGAAGGAGGAATACAAAAGGAGAGTAGAGAGGAAGCTGCAGCACAACAACACCAGAGAGGTGTGGAAGGGGATGAGGACCATCACGGGCTATAAGGACAAGAACAGCCAGGCAACATCAGGTGATGTGGACAAGGCCAATGAGTTCAACCTGTTCTACAACAGGTTTGACACAGCCTCACCTGTTCTCTCTCCCACTGCTTCAGCTGCATCTTCTCCTACGGTATCTCCTCCACAACCTGACAATGCAGCTGCAACTCCCTCCACACTGGGGTCAAGTCTCCTGTCCTTTACAGCGGAGGAGATGAGGTAGAGCTCAAGAGACTACATCCTGGAAAGGCAACAGGCCCGGATGGTGTGTGTTCCAAGCTGTTAAAGGACTATGCAGCCCAGGTGGCTGAGCCTCTCCAGAAGATCTTTAACTCAAGGCTTCAAACAGGTAGTTTTCCTGGTCCTGTGGAAAACATCATGTCTTGTTCCGGTAACTAAAGTAGGACGACCGGCTGAGATACATGACTACAGTCCGGTGGCCCTCACATCACACATCATGAAGACCCTGGGGCGGCTCCTTCTCCAACTTCTGAGGCCACAGGTTGAACATGCACTACACCCCCTACAAAGAACATATTGGAGTGGATGATGCCGTCCTTTACATGCTCCACCTGGCCCATTCTTACTTGGATGAGCCTGGTAGTTACATGAGGATTATATTCTTTGATTTTTCAAGTGCATTTAACACCATCCAACCCCCCCATCCTTAAAGACAAGCTGGAAGGGATGGGGGTGGATCCCTGTTTCATGTACTGGATTGTGGATTACTTGACAAGATGACCACAGTACGTCAGGCAGGGTAACTGTGTCTCAGGGACAGTGATGAGCAGCACTGGGGCTCCACAGGGGACTGTTCTGGCTCCGTTCCTGTTCACCTTGTATACGGCCAACTTTAAAGACAACAGTGAATGGAGCAACGAGAACTGCCTTCATGTCTGACATGAACACAGAGAGACTGGATAAGCTGGAAAAAAAGGCTGGGTACGTGCTTGGCAGGAGTCTGGACTCACTCAGGACTGTTTGAAAAACTTCAGTTTAGCTAAGTAACTATTAGCAAGCCAAACACAAAGGCTGAGTGCACAGGGGGTTGCCCCGGTGTCTCAACTGGTAGAGCGCTAACACTTAAGTTATAGTCTTTAAATGCCCCATGATCACAATTACATTTTCCCAGTTTTCATTCAGTGTCCCTGTGTTAGTTGTCCATTTATCTGATTATACTTTATTCCAGGTGTAAAGAAAATCTTTATTTTTACATCACAATCCCTTTCTTTCCTCTTCAGGTAAAAGGGTTTCAAATATTTGATGACTCATCTTGCACTCAGGGGCGTTCATTAATTTTGCATCAAATGAAAATGCTATAAACACAAATATGCAGAATCAAATAGCACTCTGACATTTTTTTCAAGTGGACTTTAAATTGCTAACACTGTAACTATATGATCTGAGGCTGTGATCAAAGTCTTTTTCTCTTAGGAGGGTTCCTAACTGAGTGAAATTACCTGGTTGAATCCTCTAAATACTAAGGAAAGGTACTTGGACCATCCTTTATGACAGGAAAGGACATAATGTCATTCCACAACAAAAACATTTAAAGCAACGCACCATTCCACGTCAACATCTGGTGCTGCATAATTACTGTACATAGCCTAGTGTAAGTGCAGTCAGATTCAGATTCTCTCTCTCTCTAACAAGTTTTCTATATATATATATATATATATATACAGTATATAGATGCTACTAACCTGAACTTGTTAAACTTGCTATAGCTGGCTAACATTTGAATAGGATGGCCCATTATTCTTAACTGAGATTTAGTACAATCAGGGTCGACTGTCAGTGTTGACCAGCCAACTGTGTTGAGCATAGCGATTCCAAAAGCACTCATTGGTCAGAAGCTGTAGACCCTCTCTCCCTTGTGGCTAGTCTGTTTCATTGTGTACAAAATATTACCATACAGTAAAACCTGTCAAAAGTCAGCGTGCATGTGCATGCACACACCCATAAATGTGTTTGCCACACAGCCTTTGTAAGTGAGCTTGCAAGCAGGCAGAAAACAAAATGCATATGGCTACAAAACTATGCTTACAGATACAAACTTCAGTATACAAGTTTGCTAAACGACAAGTTTACAAAACTACAGTTATGGATACAAAACCCTGCTTTCAAGTTCACCTTTTTGAATGACATAATATTCCATAGGTGACTACCTGTCTGAAGAACTCCTCCAGCAGGGATGTGGTCCAGTAGTGATGAAGTTCCCAGCATTTGGCAGGATGGCTGATGTCAGCAGTGTGCAGCAGCAGGGATAAGGCCTTCGGTTTGTCAATCCTGCAAATACAATCCAGTCAGTCACTGCTGGGCTGCTGTCAATGACACGTGATTGCACTTGGTTGTGCCTAACTTTGGAAGCTCATGTGATATTCTGCAGTCTGTTTTAGGTAATCTAGGTTTCGAAAAAGGACCCTTCAAGACACATTGCAAAATTAGATTGTAGGTAAGTATGTACTTTTTTAATGGTGAAACCACAAGACTCAAAATGAATTGTCATGCTGGTAGCATAGTGACCCCGCTGGTGAGATTATAGCACTGTCTTTTTCAGTGATCAGTGAGCATCAGTCAATACAATGTTGATATATTGTCTTCCTCCTTGCTGACAATGGATATTTATAGAATGTCATGGGTGAAGTTGTGTTTTGTCACTGCCTTTTGCTGCCACACACAATATTTTCATATATAATATATACGTGAGTAAGAAGCTGTTTGACATATCATGCCATATCAACTTAAAATGTGATAGTATGTCAATGTTGTGTTCACAAGATGTTTCTACTTTCAAGTGTAAATTATAAAAATGTCAAAATGTGTATTTTTCTGCTCCAGTAGTATTATAGAAATGCTGCAGCAGAAACTCAAAAGGAATAGGAAATTTATTATCAAGATGGATTTTTCCAAAGTAATATCTTGGTAAAATATCTTTCTATTGTAGTTATTGGATTACTTCAATTTTGTCACACCGCATTGAAGTCCAGTTGGGGTTTTGTCCTGTCTCCGTGTTTTGTCTTGTCATTTCCTGTTTTAGTTTGAAAAGTAACTCTCCTCTCGTTTCAGGTCACTTGCCCTTCCTCATATGTCTCGGTCTGATTGCCCTCTGAGTGTTTTCACCTGTTCCCCTTGCCCAGTGTTTAAATAGTCTGTGTCTCCCTTTGTCTTGTGCCAGTGTGTTTCGTCTGCATGCATGCACCCCAGCTCTTCGTCACAGCACTTGTCACAGCGTTCCTGAAGTTTTGTGTTCTTCTTCCTCCAAGTGAGAGTTTTTGAGTTGTAAGTTTATTTCCTAGATTTGGTGTCATAGTTAAAGATTGCATAGCCTTTTGTTTCCTGTGACCTTTTGTTTACTTACCTTTTATAGAGTAGAGCCTCCAGTTTGAGAGTTTTTATTTTCAGATAATAGTTTAATAATCCATTGTGTTTTCCTCCTTAGTGGAGTGATTATTATTTTGATATTTTTCATAGTCTCATATATAGTGAGGGCTAGGTTGATAGCCTATTTATTTCTCCACTTGGAGGCGTTCTGAAGAAACAATAAAAACTGTCAATTGAACCCTGCATCTGTGTCCTGACTCCTTGCCTGGTCGTGACAAATTTTCTCTATATTTCTGAACTGGAGAGGCAATTTTAAAAGGGGTTTCACGTGTCCCTCAAATCATCCACCCTAACCAAAAGTGCTGACCAGAGAATTGCCAGCATAAATATATTTCGTAGGGATGCGTTGAAAAGCATTTTCAACACTTTACATTTCGTGACTATAGTGAAAATAGTTTGCCAGTTTGCAGATTGTATTTGTGAATGGATTTAGACTGTCTAATGCCTCTGTATCACATGATACCATATTTAAAGACAACAGTCTCTAAAAACGGTATTATGAGACTGTTGTCTTTAAATATGTTATCATGTCATCTCATGTGCATCTCAAGTATGGCAAACTGTTTTCAGTCACCAAAGTGCTGGACATCCAAATGTCCAGAGAGTTTTCACTTAATATCTTGTAACATGCAAATGACAAAATTTACTTACTTAGATTTCCAAAGATGCATTTTACAGTGAATAAATAAAATTTTAGATTTAACTGGAATCATTATACAGGTGCTTAAACCCAACTTTACTTCATGATTTGATAGTGTCAGTAGATAGTGTCCCCACTGAGGTTTTGAGATTTGTGAAAGACCTGAGAGTCCTCTTCACAACTTGAATGGATGTCAACTAAACTTACACTGACTGAATTAAAATCCACTACTCACACCACAGGCTGCTGCAAGAGGCTTTTCATGGTTTTAATCTGCTGGAAGTGGCAAGACATGTCAGTGGCCAACACCATCTCAACTACCAGAGTCCGCAGTTCTCTGAAAGAGTGAATAAAAATGACATAAATTAACTTTTAGATGGATTGCCATGAACATTCCTGTTCCCTTTGGAATTAATTGAAATAACTGTGGTCATTGGTGATTCCTTAACTTTTCAGCTAGCATAATATTGTAAATGGACTGTACTTTTCTAGTCTTGTTGACCACTCAAAGTACTTTACATTGGAAGCCACAGTCACCCCTTCATACCTACATTCATATAGCGCTTTTCCCTACACACAGTGCTTCTTACACAAACACTGACACACACGGATAATACATAGAGGGCAACTTGGGGTTTGGTATCTTGCCCGAAGACACCTCGAAATGCTGATTGGAACCACCCTCTGATTAGTGGACAGCTCGCCCTCCTGACAGCTGGAGTTCTCCAATAATCAGGTCAAAATTTCAAGTTGTTCAATACTTTGGTTTATGACCAAATATCTGTGAAAATTATGACATGTTGACCTCAACTGATGTCTTGATACCAGACTTTTGGTAGTCAAGTTATGAGCTGTTGCGACGTAAGCCTAAACAAGATAACATTAGCCCTAATTCACAAACAATTATGGTAATATTTCAGGACATGAACATAGCTCAAACCATTGCTGTACAGGTGAGGGAAGATGTTTGCTTCTTTAAAGGGATAGTTCAGGTTTTTTTTACGTGGGGTTGTGTGAGATAGTCATACAGCAGATTATGATCAGCGTGGTCCCAGTTACAAAAGCCGACCAGGACACCAGCAGAGTGGCAATTATGTGTTGCTGTGCATGGGGCCACAAGCGCACCTATGGAGGACACTGTGTTACTCTGCAGCTGCAGATCAGCTGAGTGAATCAGAAAGCTGTGTTAAAGGGATGCACTACTGCTATTTTAAGGGTGCACTATCAAGCAGTAGTAGTTGAGTAATATTTGCATTATTACACACAGTTTCGGTTTTGCTATTATGCACTGTTTGTGGAGGTTTGTTTTGTTCTTTCCCTCGCTCTCCCACTCTCTCTCCCTGCCTGTTGCTCCCACTGGTCCTGTTTTTCTGATAGGAGTGATGCACCTGATGCCAATCACACTCCTGACAAAAGGAGGAACCTGAGGAGTGGAGACAGCTGCTGTCACATTTGCCACAAATCTGCCAACTGCTTGGGGGTGAATTATCCTCCCCATGTGATTCCTTCTTTCCCAGCATGATCCAGAGTGTTGGGGTATTATCATTTTAGTTTCTTATTTTAGTTACTGTGTTTGGAGATCGGTTTTTGTTTTTGTTTAGATTATTTTGCATGGGCAGTTTAGAGGGGAGCTAGTCCCTGAATGCAAAGACCCATGGCGTGGCTGGCTCAGTGGCCTTCTTTTGTTCTTTTTGGCCAGGATCTCCACCCCTCTTTTATTTTCTTTATTTTAAACGTAACAATAAGGTACTCAGAAAACTAAACTCATTCTTTGTTCTTGGCATCTCTGTCTGGCATCCTTTATATGTTCCAATCTCCAATTAATTCTGTTGTTTTCTTGGGGAGGCCGTAACAGGCAGGTTACAATATGTTAAGCACAAATAGTGTGTGCTGGAAATGCATTACAATAAAACCTACAGAAGTTTGGAGCAACCATTGTGGCATATTGTGTGTTACATAACATTGCTATGTGTCGTGGATGTCATTCGGACATACAGTACCAGTCAAAAGTTTGGACACATCTATCTGTTCATAGGTTTTTCTTAATTTTGAATATTTTCTACATTGTTGAACAATACTAATGACATCAGAACAAAAAAATAACATATATGGAATTATGTAATAAACAAAAAAGGGTGCTGACATGCTGTGGTAAGCTTATTGTGGTTGCTGGTGTTGGTGTTAGTATGTGTTACTGCTCTGTCTCAATTCAGCTAATTTAGCTATTTTTCATTATAGCGGCTAATTACTTGCTGTACATTTAAATGTACACTAGTTCTGTTCAAGCACTCATAGCTCTCTCCTTCCTTTAACAACTTTCTCACTAATCTACAGCTGTTTACATGCTTTTCAGATCTGCTAGTTACTTAGCAGTTAGCGATGGCCTCTCTCTCTCACTGTCCTGTTCTCTCTTGCTCCGTGTGCTTAGCTCCTACTCTCCCGTCAGCAGTTCCCAAGCAGCCAGGAAGCAAGGGTGGATGGGTGACTGTTGGTAACAAGAAGAATCATAGTAAGACTGTTCATGTCGGCATTAATGGAACCCGGTTACGCCAATCGGACGATTGGAGATTATTGCTGAGTTTGTGTGTGTAAAGACAATGCTGGACTCTGTGGTTTTCTCTGGGCTCAAATGCCTAATCTGACCAGCAATGACATGTGATGCCGCATGTCACCATTTCTGGTTGTCAAGGTGGTGTCCAGCACACGATGTGGGCTTTGTAGATAATTGGCAGACTTTCTGGGGAAGACCGAAGGCCTGTAGTATGAAGCAGGATTTGAGGTTCACTTGTTACCGGGGTAAATCACAAATGCTGAACTCCTAACCTGTTCTGGTGCAGGTTAACTTCAGAGGATAAGATCAAAACATGGCAACAGCCAAACTACTGACCAATCTTGAAAAACTGAATCATCATTTCTACAAGATCCTGACAGAGACAATAAAGTGATAAATAACAATGAGCAACAGATATTTTGTATAATACCTTTGTGAAACAGCAGTTTTAAACAAATAGGATATCATGCATCTGTTCTTAAAGCATAAAGCCCTTTGTGAAACAAGTCTTGAATACTGGCTATGAGTCCTCCCCCCTCCCTCTCTGTCTCTCTGTCACACACACACACACACACACACACACCGACCAAGAGTTCCCTGACATACGCAAAGACAAACAGATGACTGATGGTTTCAAGAGCCGTAGAACTGAACCTATGTTTACGTACACAGCAATCGGTGAAGGATGATCATTAGTAATACTAAAGCACTAGCAATGAAGTGCAGGACATGCTATGGGAGCCTTATCCTGCAGAATACTTTGTCGTAAAAAGTTAGATGAATCAAACAAGAATGAAACCTACGCTGTATTCTACACCTGAAGTGTACCAAAAAAAAAACGTAAAAAAAAAAGTATTATTTTTTTTTACCAGCCCCGTTGTCCTTTGAAGATTATTATTTTAGAAAATAAAGTTTCCAGAAGAGATTCACCAAAAAAGTCCTTCCTCCATGTGAACCAATGAAATTGGAGGCCGAAAAAACACCGCTCAGCGTGTATGTGAGAATGGCCGAATCCGTCTGAAGAAGAAGAAATGGAGGCTCTGTGGCATAAGAAATCTGTGATTGTATCAGTTGGATGAGGATGAAACATTGGAATCTTCCACCACCGTAGCTACGCTTACTTCCAATGACTGGGGGGCGTTGAAATATGTGAGGTCTCGGAGGCACTACGCAGCCTTCGTGTCAGGAAGAAAAAGAAGCAGAGGAAGATGACCCTATACGTGCCAAATGTGTGAAAGTGCAATCTTTTCCCACAGACATCGAGCTTGCTCAGAAAGAGAGGATTTTCAGCGCTGTATGGCAGTCGAAAACCGCAGCATCCACTCGTTGGCCTGCGTACATCAGGGAACAAGGAAGTTGTGGAGGGCTTTGTCTTGGAGTGTTTTAATTCAGATTGCGGCATATTCCGCACATTGTTAGCTCTGCTGTAGACTGTCTGGGAAAGGATGGAAGAAATAGCTGAAAAAATTTGCCTTCTCTTCCGCAGCTGCCGTAACTGGAGGGACATTCGCTGTTAACCCACTGTTATTCTAGACTGCACCTTCGTCATCTCCCAACTACCTGTACGGTACGTTTCCCTCTCTGCACCAGGATACGGTAAAGATGAAGTTTCAGAAGGGGGATCTCATCAGAATATCCAAGCTGAGTGGCAGAGTTTTACGGCCAAAGTGTTTACAGTCTCCAACTGCATTCCTCATTTTTCCCCTGTATACAGACTCCAAGATTACGACGGAGAACCTATCCAGGGTTTGTTTTACGAAGCGGAGCTGCAAAAAGTAAAAATGGCTAAAGACAAGCTGAATCGAGTGGAAGAAATTTTCCATGGGGGGTGAAAAACAGGTTTTGTAAGCTGGAAAAACTGTCCCTCTAAATTCAAGGGTCAAGGCCTCGTAGCTGTAAAATTTATAAAAACCGCATGCGTCGACGCCGGAGCCTTCATTCTGCCGCTACATCATTGATCAATGCCTGAGCGAGGGTTTTTATGTCACCCTCACCTCCAATGCCAGCCTCTGGGTATTTAAAAATAATACCGGCTCCAGTTTCCACGTGGATTTACCCCATCATATTGATTTAGAGGGCCCTTGGCAGGTAGCTTTGACTGAGATTTCATACCCACACACCTGGTAAAATATTCCCATAGAGTCTGGCTACTTTGAATAGAGGGAGAAACCCCAGGGTTCACAGACCGAGATCCGTCATCAAAAGATTAGAGGAGACTTTTACTCGAGCGTGAATCAACTCACAAACAGGATGAACAGCTTTCTTAAAAAAATATGATCTGATATTCACCTACTCTTTAGCTACGTTCAAAAAAGATTTGAATATCAGGCAGGGGGTCAGTATCATCTGCGTTTTTTTTCCCTCCCTTGGCTTACATGTTGGGGGTAAAACCCAGAGAAGGGGTCACATTTGAGGAGAGGCTGGCTCCCCATCCAGCAGACATAAAAGCAGGGTTTTACCACCTCTACTGTTATAGTGACGTGGTATACCATCAATTGGTAGGTGAAGCTTACGCTCTTCTCTTGAGAATCATAAACATACAAGGAACTTACGGCGGCATCATCACTCAGTATTTTAACCCCGCCTACTATCTACCTGTGGCAAAGAATCACATTGAAAACATTCACATAGAGATTAAGTCAGATCAGAACGCACCCATCAATTTCACTTTTGGTTAAACCATTGTCAAATTACATTTTAGACCCACTACCTCTCAGCGTCCCCTGTGAAAAAAAAAAAAGAAAGACATGGCTCAGATACGTCTGAGAGAGGATCCTCATCGCTTT